GAAAGAGGTAGATTCAAATGTATTTACTCCTCTCTCCGGTGCCAGTTATCCAACGCTACATCCTGAAGTACATTCATTTGTCAAGGTCAAAGGCCCCGGCCATACAAAGCAGCGATTCCCCAGGGCATTCAGGGCTGTGCTTGTTCTGAACAAAAGAGGTTATGAACCAGGGAAACCCCTGGGTGAGGTCTAAAGGATTGTTTTCCTGCCGGAGCCCCTGTTGGAGTTGGGTAAGTTCATATGCACCTAAGTAAGTTTTTAATCTTGTTTTTTCTGTGACGCTTTCACCTTAGGAATAAATGTGATTGCTGGTAGTAACTTACATCTGTGGGCAACTGGGCTGTTTATGGCTATGTCTAGGGAGGGGGCTAGATTTGTAGGGGCCTGGTCTCCCCATCTCAAGGGGGGTTGAGGCCTCCTAGCCCTGGTTACTGTGACTAGATTACATCTGTGCTGTGCTGTACCCTGGAGAAGCAATAAACTCCCTCAATTCTACTGGCTGGTGGAGTCTGTTCGTGCCACTACGGGGGTGCAGAAGTTGGTAGACTGCAAGATTCTTTCAGAAGAAGCTTTTCTGGAAGAGAGCTTCCGGAAACGCTTATTTTGAAAGAGAGTGTCTACACAGCAAAAGCGATCTGCTTTTTCAAAAGATAGCATCCATATTGATTGGACGCTATCTCGCATTTAAGTCGTGATTAGTATGGATGGAGTGGCCACCAGGGCACCTGTGTTATTCCCTGGAGACCTCTTCTTTCAAAAGAACTCCCTCTTCTTCATCCCGAACCGTCTTTTTCTAAAAAAGGTTTTTTAGAAAAAGACTTCTTCCTCATAGAAAGAGGTTTACCATCGTCAGAAAACCCCCTCCGTTCTTTGGGCTGTCTGTCAAAAGGACTCAATGGCAGTGTGGACACAGATATTGTTTTTCTGGAACAACAGCCATTTTTCCAGAAAAATGTTGCACCGTAGACACACACTATAGCAATGTTTCTTAAATTTTTTAAGACCAAGGAACACCACATAATATTTTTTTTTAATTAGGAACACTAAGGATTTTTTGTTGAGGAAAAAAAAAAAAGGTCCAGCGGAAAGCTGTTGAGAAAAAAAAAAGAAGAAAGAAACACTGCCCGATAGCCATTGAAAAGAAAGCAAAGATGGGGTGCTTAAGTGATTATGTGCCACTGCCCACTTTATGCATGGTTGTAAGAGGTGCTCCATGCGTTATAAAAAGTGGTTGACATAACAAGAGGATGCAGGCTGGGTAGGTTCGCTGTTGTATTGATTTTGAAACGCAAACACAGTTGTGTTTCCACTTAACAGTACAAGGCCTTGCTAAATCCACCCCCAGCAACCAAACTTTAACAGTGACAAAGCCAGGATGGGCTGTAGACCAGAGACTAGCACCCAACACAATGGACCAAGGTGGGTGACGCTTCGGGTAGTGGGTACAAATCTTGGCCAGTGGTAGTGTCCCTAGGACAATAAGATCCATAGATGCGGAGATTGGGGTGGTTGTATTTGAGTGTTGGCAATACTTTGCCAACACAGAATTGACTGGATACCTCCAGGCCAATTTTACTCTGAGCTGCCAATGCCCCCTTCCCCCGGCTTCCAGTAAGGATGGAGGATGGATGTGCAGTGAGCTTCCTCAGACAGTACCACATAGGAAAACAAAAGCCATGGAGCATGACAGGGCAAATGGATAGGATGGACCATGCTGGGCTGTCTTGATCTGTCTGGTGTTAGTTTCTAAGGAGCCATAGGACTGCTCGTTGTTTTTGGGAAGACATTTGAATGCAGGAGGAAGTGGAGAAGGGGATGCTGGTTCGAGGAGGGAGCTCCAGGCTGGGGAGTGTTGGGGTCAGGTGGGGGGTTGGGGTACTGAGCAAGCCACAGGCTTGTGGATGTGAGGGTGCAGGAGTTTGGGTTGGGGGATATGAGGAGCTCAGGGCAGGGAGGTTGGGAGTACGATGGGCTCAGGACACAGATTTCAGGTGTGTGGATGGTGCAGGAGTGTTGTGGCAGAAGACAGAGGATGTGGGGTACAGGAGTTTAGGGGTGTGAGAGGCTCAGGAAAGGGTGTTCCAGCATAGATCTAGGGTCTGGGGGTGGGGTGCAGGAGTGTTATGATGCTGCGGCCAGATGGGGGGTTGGTTGGCCAGGCTTCATTTTTAAACAAAATATTATATCAAACACAAAAAGTTTCAGCGTTGTCTTTATTTCTGAGAAGGGCAGGGAACCTGTTTTGAGTCAGGGGTCACTGACCCATAGAAAAGTCAGTTGGGGCCACACAAGTGAGATGCAAAAAAATAACTCCGCCAGCCCCCCATCCCAAGCCTCACTAATGTGGCCCCAACCTTGCTGGTGGGAGCAGGGGACATGGTACTGGGGAAGGGTGCTAGTGGGTGCTGGGGCAGGGGACAGGGTGCTGGGGTGGGGACAGGGCTCTAGTGGGGGCAGGGGACAGGATGCCGATTGGAGCAGAGTGTTGGTAGGGACAGGGGATAGGGAGTCCCCCGCATGTGCCTCCCCCCCAGGAGTCCTACCCCCTTGCATAGGGAAGCTCCAATGCACACCTCCTCTGGGGACTCCTATCCCCTCCGCCACCCGCAGAGGAGGGAAGCTCTGGTGCATGCCTCCTCCAGGGACTCCCCCTCTTGCAGAGGAGAGAAATCCCGGTGCATGCCGCAGAGGAGGGAATCTCCAGTGCGCACCTCCTCCAAGGACTCCCCCCCCTCGCAGAGTAGGGAAGTCCTGGCACGTGGCTATTCCTGGGACTCCTCCCCACCCCGCTGAGGAGGGAAACCCCAGTGCGCGCCTCCTCCGGGAACTCCCCCGCTCTGCAGAGGAGGGAAGCCCCGGTGCATGCCAGCTTTGGGGACTCCTACCCACCCCCAGCAATTCCCCGGCATGCCAGAGACCTGGGTTGTGGTACCATGCTGGCTGTTTGCGGGAGGAGGAGCAGCCAGCGTACTTCCTGAAACCCCGGAAGTGGCGCACAGCTGCCAGACTTCCTTCCACCCCACAGGAAGCCAGCACTACCTCCATTGTTGCTGGAGGTAGGTAGAGGGGCGTCTTGGGAATGGGAAGAAATGGGGGGGGCCTGAACGCCTCTTGATCGACTGGTTGATCCCCCCCGATTGACCAGTCGATTGCAATTCATGGGTTGGTGACCACATTAGAGGACTTGGTTTCTGATCCTGCCACCCAGTGACCCCCAAACTCCCACTGAAGTCTGCAGAGGAGTGGGGTGGGATGCAGGGTCAGACCCACTGTGGGAAAGCAGCAGCTAGTGCAGCCATAAGCATGCGGAGCCAAAGCATCACCTGGTGTCGGTAAGTTTTGTTAGGGCAGGTTCAGACCAGCTGAAGACTTGGCTCACCATAAGTAAGAACAAGCCCCCTTGCAAGAGGAAGGAGGACTTCTGAGAGAGCCACCTGAGCTCTTATCTGGTTCTCACCCCTTTCTCCCATCTATCAGGGCACCAAATGAGGAGTCCACACACAAAATTATAAAGGAAACTAAATTTATTGTCTATAGGATAGGGAAGGTAAAAAGGACTAGAGAAGGACAGAATGACTGGGTCTGGAAACTGCAGGAGGCAAACAGAGGAGGGCAGCTGATATTAGGGCTCCTGTTTTACCCAGCTCCACTCCTCGGCAGACTTCAGTGGGAGTTTGGGGGTCACTGGGTGGCAGGATCAGAAA